TATTTTACAAAGTTTTGTGTCATCTGCAAACACTGAAACATGACTTTCAATGCTGTCTTCAAGATCATTTATAAACATGTTAAATAGAACACACCCCTGAGGGACACCACTTGCCACCTCTGTCCAGCTTGAAAATTTACCATTAATGACAACTCTTTGTACTCTGTTTTTAAGCCAATGTTTTACCCGAGAACAAGCATTTTCACCTAGACCGATTTCCTTGAGTTTGAACACTAATCTATAGTGTGGAACTGTATCAAATGCCTTGGCAAAATCCAAATAGATCACATCCACTGCAACACCCTGATCTATACTTCTACTTACTTCTTCGTAGAACGCAATCAAGTTAGTTTGACATGACCTGTGCTTCATAAAGTGAGTGACTGAGTGTGGGTGAGTGTGTGATTCTGAGTGTGGGTTAGTGGCTGATGGCTGTGTGTGGGTTAGTGACTGAGTGTGGGTTGGTGGGTGAGTGAGTGATTGTGAGTGTGGGCAGGTGACCGAGAGTGGGCGGGTGACAGTGTGGATGGGTGACCGATTGTGGGCGGGTGACAGTGTGGGTGGGTGACTGAGTGTGGGTGAGTGAGTGATTCTGAGTGTGGGTTAGTGGCTGAGCGTGGGTGGCTGAGTGTGTGTGGCTGGGAGAGAGTGAGTGGGAGTGAGTGAATGAATGAGTGGGAGTGAGTGAGTGGGAGGGAGAGAGTGAAATAGATAGAGAGAGAGAGAAATAGAAATAAATAGAAATATATATATATATTTATTGGCGAGAAACCCAAGTTTATTTTTAGGGGGGCTAAGAATTTTAGACAAAAACTGACAAAAAGTTTTATAGAAAAAGAAGCCCTGAAGGTTACAAATAACATTTTGACTATGTGCGCACAAAAACAAGCGGGTTTTTATCATTGTGTCTCTTGTAATGCATGCACTAATTCAAGCATAATTAATAAAAATATAAAAGAATTTGTTTCCATGGTAACCAATGAAAAGTATAAAATGAAAACTTTAATTTCATGTCACACCAAAAATGTAATTTATTTATTAAAATGCACATGTGGCTATCAGTATATCGGCAAGACATCTAGAATGATTAAATCTAGAATTAGTGAGCACATTAGAAACATCAAGAAAGGTTTCATAAATCATGGTGTATCTAAGCATTCAGACCCTAGTACTTTAGAATTTTATGGAATAGAAAAAGTAAGTAATCATTGGAGAGGGGGAGATTTAGCTAAAAAATTGAGCCTACAGGAATCAAAATGGATCTTTGAGATGAGGACACTAACCCCTCTAATGCTAAATATAGATTTTGAGATCAATTGTATTCTATGATTTTTTTATTTTTTTATTTATGTATTCCCTTTAACACTATCTGGGTTGATGTCTATCTTTGGTCTTTTTATATATTTATATTAATACTAATTTTTTCCCTATATATATATATATATATTTTTTTTTTTATTATTATTTTAATTATATATAGATTTAATATCTTTCTGCCATTTTTAAAAAATAAGCAAATATTTATATTATATTTGTTTTTATATATATATATATAGATAGATAGATAGATAGATATTTTTTTAATTATGTATATTTAAAATCTTGTGTCATTTTTTATCTTTTATTTTTATGCTGTACATATTCTATGGACACTATGGACATTTTGGGGATATATGCCCATTTCCAAAATGGACCCTATATGCCTTATATCATCCCTCTGGGACGCCCATGAGAGAATGATCGCCGCATTATGATGATACAAACAGGAAGAGATCGCGGAGAAACACGTGTCCGGAAATGACGCGACAGACTGAAAGTCAGGAAGACGTCAGCGGAAGTGACGCGACGGCACCTGGCAACACAACATCGGAAATGATGTAGTGTAAGAGGAAGCACAAGGACGAAAGACAAGTTCTATATGGTCGGGAAGGCATAGGTTATGGTCATGAACCGGAAGTGGCGCCATATTGGGGATGGCGAGCCACATCCAGCCATGACCATATTTGGAAGTGGGAGGGACTTTTACATTACAATAAACATCAGCTGTAATTAAGAAAGTGCTATATATATGTGTTATATGTTCCATGGATTACATACCTGTACCTGAGGAAGACCTTACAGAGGTTGAAACGCGTTGTGCTTTAATTTATTTCATTTTATTTGCTATATTGAAGTTTAATAAATATTTTTAATATCTGTCACCTGGGATCCTGGAATCTTTGTTGCTGACACTATCAAGCTCCTGAGTTCCTGTTGGTGTGACTGTCCAATATCTTTTCTACTTATCTCCTGGAGTGAGATGAAATGCGCTAAAAGTTCAGAGCCAACTTTTAATAGGCTCAAAAAATTGTGAGTTTACAGACTACAATGTAAATACAGATTACACTATGTGTATGTACATTTATTTTATATAGGTTAAAGAACAATTATAAGGTAAATTAATTTCTGTATATGTGCGCTAAATCACTTTTTTGTTTGTATGATCACGTGTTTTTAAGTGTAATATAGTGACATTGCACTTGGTGTTTTTTAGCAGCACTAATCACTTTCCCTTTTAATTCAGCTCTGCCCTATTTTTCATACTTTTGTCAGTCAGCTCAGCTCGCAAACGCGCATTCCGTGCACATGCGCAGTGGAGCGCTCAGTTTTTTTCATAGTACGGCATTCAATGCCCCTCTATGAAGAACACGATTGGTGCAGTGCGAAACCGCACATGTTCACCAGAGAGCGATGACGCTTCTCAAAGAGAAGTGTCTGATTGGGACCTGCGATTTCGTCATTTTGATGAAATAGGCGGCGTGGCCTGGCGCTGGATCGGAGTTAAGTTTTATTATTAAAAAGTGTTGTATTTTTTTTTTTTGTGACAAGTTCATATAAAAGCAAGAAAGAAGGCTGGGGGACCTTTTTTTCTTGCTTTTATATGGTGACTATAGTGATCCTTTAATGGTGATGTGGTCTGACCATGATTTGAACCTTGTTTTCCCAGTTTTAAGGTAGTGTAGAAAAAACAGAAACTACACCAGGTCTCGTAACAAACCAAGTCAGTAATTGGTTAAAATTACTACATGAAAAGTGTTAAAATGCTTCAATGCACATACCCTTAGAAGTCTACTTTTTTGAAAATATATACCTTTTACATGACCTGGATTTAATTTACTGACCAAATAAAAAAATATGACCCTCTAATAATTCTAGACATATAACGGATCTTGTACGGATTTTATAGGGAAAACAATGTTTTTTGTTTTTTTTCTAATGTTCCACAATTTTTATTTTTTACATTTTATATATAGTAAATCATGCACTATATATGCTTTCCATCACTGACAAGTCTTATCTGTCCTTTGATAAATAATATATAATATGTACATGCCCACTTACCGTCTTAGAAACTGTAGTACGCATTGGGCGTTTTGAATAAACATTG